CGCACAATTAGGTTTAACTTACTAGAGAAGCCTGATATTTTGAACATATTCAGGCCCGAATAATCCCTAACTCACTTATATTCATGAACAACCGTGAAGACTCGACATCGATCATGTGAAGTGGACATGTGTCTTTGTCAGCTTAAGTAACAGACCTCTTAGCGTGTACTTTTTTCTTGAGACAACGTTTGTTTCTTCAAAATGAAAGGCTTTATCCTAGAGATAGATTTTCTAGTGTGTGTATGACACTTCTTAAAATCTTGTTTTTTTTTATTCAATATAAGTAAGTAGTGATCTTTTTCGGAGTAACAGGGATGGAAGAGTATTTGTTGGATTTTCCACTCTTACTGACATAAAAACAAGAGTAGCGAAACGCTTAAAAATATAGATTCGTTATAGACGTGTTTTGAATTTTACCATCCGAATGAAAAAGTAACTCAGAGAAAATGTTGAAGCAACAGTTAACCTTGAGAGAAAAAATGGCATGTATATTTTTACCTTTTTTTGAGGTAGAAAAAATTTCCTTTGTTTATGATTAAGAAATTAGAGTCTTACTAATAATCATAGATGTTCTTTCAATTATTTCTAATCTTTATGTTTTAATATAATATAATATTTTTAACCTCTCAAAATTGTTTTTTGTCTCGTGTTTTGGAATCAGTCATTACGATAGAAACGATTTTTTAAAGATAGCTCTGTAGGTGTACTATACAATATTTGGATACAGTAATTGCATTGTCACTCACAGAAATCGGGTGATACACTTGGAGCCCTGGGTGCGTTATAAGAGTGACCGTCAAATCACACTGTTGGATTAAAATGGCCTATGAATTAACGTGGAAGCTGTTAACTTGCTACTTTTTCACTGGTATATCTGTTCAAAATTATGGACACCTAGCGGATATGACTTTTGTGTATCTTTGCGCGAATATCCGAAATAAACAACAAACAGTCACTTAAAGAATCTTAAGAATATAAACTTGGAAATGTGGACATTTTAACGTTTAAAACTATCAAGTTGCTAATAGCAATTGTAAAAAAATATCTTTTTTGAGTTCCTGAAACTTTTAATATATATTCATAATCGTCTGGGCAATATTTATAAGAATTATAACCTGCTTTAATTTCTACATATATTAGGTCGTCAAGAAATTAATGACGCGTTTTGGAACACTTTCATTAACCATCCCCCCAAAACGTACATCACGTATAATAGTTAAACGAACCGTCTAAACGTCATGTTAGTGTAGCCTATATAATGTGTAAAGTTTAGTATACTCTAATCCTTTATATTGATGGCACACGACGAGACACACATTCGGCATGTAATGCTGGTTGAATACAAGAAGGGAGGCCCGGCATGGCCAGGTGGTTAGGGTACTCGACTCGCAATCTGTGGGTCGCGGGTTCGAATCCATCTTCTCGCGCGTGAACCATTTTTGGACAGAATTGTCACTGGTGATGAAAAATGGATTCTCAATGCAAATGTTAAAGGCCAAAAACAATGGCTCAGTCTTGGACAACCACTTCTAACCCCCAAACATGGATACCATCCACAGAAAATGATGATTTGCATTTGGTGGGACATCAAAGAAGTAATTCATTTCGAACTCTTCAATCTACAGTGAACTGTCAATGCAAAGATCTATAGTCAGAACTGGAACGTTTAAATCAAGCCCTTCATCAGAAACGCCCTTCACTCGTCAATCAGAAAGGTGTTCTTCTTATCCACGACAATGCACGTTCACATGTAGCACGTCTGACGCAACACAAGATTATAGGGTTGGGTTGGGAAGTTCTCCCCCACCCACCATATTTTCCAGATATGGAACCATCAGATTACCATCTTTTTCGTTCGCTGCAACACCATCTTAATGGGAAAACGTATGCAAATGTGGAAGGTGTTAAAGAAGACATCGACATGTTTTCTGCTTCAAAGCCAAGTGATTTCTTTAACCAGGGCATTAGCAACCTGATTGTAAGATAGAAAAGCATCATTGATAAGAATGGAGACTATTTCATTTAATAAATGTTTTGTTTTGATACATAAGTTCTTCGAGTTTTTTCATCTAAAAAGAAAGCGACATTAATTTCTTGACGACCTAATAAAAGTAAACTGTGATTTATCTCAATTTTAAATCTTGTAAGCAAAAAAGTAAGGACATTCATGGAACTCCATACATATGTAATAAGTGAGAATATTTATTAATTTTATTTTCATACCCTTTTATACATCAATAATTCCTGGCTTGCGAAAACAGTGGTGGTTTTTATTCTTAAGACCTCAAAATACTTACTGATGGAGTTACTGATGGAATTTGGTAAAATACATCTACTTTATTTATGCGTGCTATTGATGTAACTTCACCTTTAAATAATACTTTATCGTCTGAACTGGATATTTATAAAAGAAAAAAATATCCCAAGAAGGTTATCACGTTCTGTAGTTTTCCAGACAGTGATAAGCGGGTTTTTGAGAATTATAATTAATTAATCCTGCTTTTTAAGAACGATATTCTAGGCCCCTTGCTGTCATTGGAACTACTTAACCATCAATTGTGCTTGCTTAGTCTGATAACCATTATTACGCAATATTTCTCGACACCACAGCTTAAAGGTGTAACAAACTTTTATGAAGGATGGCGAAGTTAATCTTAGAACACATATCTTGATAATCTTTCAACAGAGCCTCGATTGTAATTAGACGCCAGCTTCCAAGACCAAGTTTTAGGAGATGAAACTGCACAAAAGTCCATTAGACTTGAATTGAAGGACTTGACAGGTATGTAATCGAATGGTTTGCAATGAATTCCTTTTCTTTCTCATGAAAGTTAATTTCGATTTGTGGCTGAAGGCTTCTGAGCCTTCGTCAACTTCAAATCCTCCTTATTATTTTCTTAACGATAACAGGAAATATGCCTAGCGCAATCGGGTGAGGGCGTTGCTTCGGATTATCTTGGATGTGGTTTCAGAGCCTGCTGTTCTAAATGCTCTGTCGTCTGATTTTTTACCCTTTTCGAGGAGAATATTGAAAGCTTCCTTTTTGAAAATGTTTTGTTTTTCGTCTCTATATCGATGAATAATCTCACCGTATAAATATTTTTCTAAAGAAACAACAGTAATGTTTATCCCTTCTGCCATAAGTTACTTTAGCTTCGTTGTACTATCGACTGTTTGGGAATTTGCTATGAATCAAATGTATATCTGCCACAAGCTCGTTCCTTAGACGATAAGCCGCTATGTTAGTACATGCAACTCGTTTGTGTAGTGTGATTAATTAACCTTCTGTTCACATCTTTATCTTAACTTTTCGGGTTTATTGATTAATTTTTCTGATGTTTGTATTTCAGACTTTTTTATTGTCAGATTTCCTATTTTTGTGTCTATTCTTTGGCACAATTATTAGCTAATTAAAGACAAAAAAAAAACAAGTACAAAAGTAAAGCAAAACGTAAAAAACAAAAAACAAAAAAACAAAAGAGAACTCAGTGGTTTGTTTTAAATTTAGCGCAAAGCTACACTTCCCTAGCCGTCTCTACTTTAGCAGTGATAGACTAGAGGGAAGGCAACTAGTCAGCACCACCCACCGCTAACTCTTGGGCTACTCTTTTAATAACGAATAGTGGAATTTGCAAGGTGGAAACTGAACTCTTGATTTTTTTTTCTAACGATACATATCAATTCGAAAAAGTTCTTGAGACGACTAATTTTTACATATTCTCATTTTTGTCATATGAAAAACGTTTTGAGGTTATTGTAATGTAACACTTGCTGATATAGAAAAATACCCCCCAGTGGTACAGCGGTATGTCTGCGGGATTATACCGCTATAAACCAGGTTTCTACACTCGTGGTGGGCAGAGCACAGATAGCCAATTATGTAGCTTTGTGCTTAACTTCAAACAAACAATAGAGAAAGATGTCTTACAGTCTTAGTGAGAAATTAGAAATTAATAATTTATTAGCGAATGGGAAATAATTAAAACTGTAACAAATCACATGCTGTAAGTTTCACAATTAAAAAGCACAAAGTGCTGAAATTAACTTCTATGAATTAAAATAAGTTATTTATAAGAATTAAAGTAGGCTGAACTATGTGTAGTCTTACTTAGCTAGGAAATTTGTATGTAGGGTTAACAAATATTTGGAACTATGAGCCTGTACAATACATGAAAGCTATGAAAGCAACCTCATTCACCAACTATTTCAGCGACAAAATTTTTTTATGCTTATAAAGACTCTACTAATGACTCTGTTATCTTATATATATATATATAACTTGACGTTCCACAGTATTTAGATAACAGTCTAGACCACGCTACGCGCTAATCTTGTTAAAAATATAAAAGATTACAATAACACGCTTGTTGGTTAACGTTACAATATACAGATACAAATATTTGTACAAGTAAGATAAATCGTTTTAAAGCCTTATAAATGAAACAGTTTAAATACTAAAATCATGACATGCTACAAGATAGCAATATTAGATCGATGTTTGAAGATACTCAAGACACGCATACTTGAACTGTAATTGTATTTAAACAGAAGAGCTTTTAAAAAGTATTATAAAACGGTTTGAAAATTATGGAATTATTGAAGTTTCTGCTTTTTTGTTGTTCTTAAGAACAAAGCTACACAAAGGGCTACCTGTGCTCTACCCACCACGGGTATCGAAACCCGGTTTCTAGCGGTATTAGCCCGCTGGGCGTTTATGTATAGTTTCCCAACCTTTTATGATTCTCCTTATCTGATGTACTTTTCGAAAGAGTCTCGTTCGTTTTTAATATAAACGGATATTTTTAGGAAAGTGTTTGTTTCACTTCCAAGTATAAGCTAAACTGGATTTTCCCCGATACAGAAAAACGTGATTGTTACACACGCAGTTGTTTCTATGTTTTTACACTGATATATCTGATCTGTTTTAAGATCATTTGTATAAAAATAAATGTGATCATTAATGTAACGTAAATGCAATTTAGCCTGTATTTTCCCTTTAATAAATTTGATACATACTTTTATTATACACATTTAAATAATACACATAATGTTGTACATACACTTACATCTAGAACAAGACAAACCTTTAAACAGACGTACATGTTTTATTTGGACTTTGCTTTACCCAAACAACTAACGCGGATATATCTGAAATCAAAATTATTTATTTATTTGATAACTGAGACTATAAGCATACTTTTGCAAATGTTCAAAATAGTTGGTAATAACAAAGAAAACAAAATTCGTTATCCATATTAGTAGATTTTCTTGGAATTTATAAATTACCCCTCGACGATGCTTCGTTTCAGAAAGATCTGGAAAGAAAAATTGGCATACGTAACTATTTTGAAATTAGTTAAAATTAATTACTTGAATACACATTCCTGATATCATCTGTATAAAACGATACTATTTTTAAATGCCCGAACTTTAATATTGTTTGTGGCACAAAAATAATGACATTTAAAAACATCTCCCCAAACTTATTAACACGTCCTCTTGATGGTGATATAAAAAGGGGCCTGAATTTAATAGGATTTTTTTAGGCTTTACAAAGAGTTTGATGGTTACTATAGCTTGAATGAAAGGTCATATTTGTCACTTCATTCCAAATCTCTGATACACAAGTGGTTAACTTTCTGACAAAAGTAAGATTATAATTCAATGTCATGGAGTATTTTAATGAAAAAATATTTTTGAATGTTGAAAGTGTGTTTCGTCTGGTGTTTAATTGTCCGTTTTAATTATACATAAAACTCGTAATTTGTAAACAGTTTACTTCTTGCTTCCTAAACTGATATTTGGTTTTAAAATATTTGATTATGTCATGAATTTCTTGGTCATTTAAGTTATCGAGAAAAAACTTACAATTAGAAAGTAAACCTAATACAAAGATTTTTGATAATACACTATATCAAATCGTTCTGAGAAGCACAAGAGCTGTTAAGGGCTCATATTTTATAGATTTTAGGCATTATTTGTATCCGAGAACAAAGTTAGTTGTTTATAAGGAATATATACTTGTAAAAATAAGGTACCTTACCTTAAGGTTTTTCAATGAAATGTGATATGTTAGGATGTCAAAGTAAGCACAGCAAGAAACAGAAGAAAACACGTGAAATAGAAATTCCTTGAAGTACCTGAAAAACGGTAACACATCAAATTCAAAAATAATAACTTCGATGAAGAAAGAAAAAAAAAAAAGCCAAATTAGTAAACTATTATAAAAAATAAAAACACTTGCATTAAGCCTGTGATAATATATTATAATGCCATAACAATGAAACTGGATATAAATAACTGTTTTTTGTTTTACAGAGAAAGGAAAAGACAGTAAAGGATTTGGAATTCTTAGCTTCTACTTCATTTAAAGTTCTCGAGTATGGAGTTCTTTCGTGTGAATTCACCCTAGCTGTGAACCTGAACGTTCATGGTTCGCAATTCTTTGCTAGAGAAACGTGCTCCGTAGTTTGGGGCAGTGGGTGTGCTATAACAGCGATGGTCAAATCTCCCTATTAGATCAGACGAAAATAGCCCAAGAGTGTTCCCCCACCCACTATAAACTGTTTCTTTTCAGAAATGAATGGATGAAACAGATGACAAGGGCGTTAATTTGTTTTACCTGGATCTTTAGCACATTTGTTTTTTATATTTTTCTTCTTATTTTCCATGCTTGAAACGTTTTTGGTCAAATATCATACACCATTGTAATCCATGGTATTGTTTGTGCTTGATATTATTATTTTTTACTTTCTTGAAATGCTCAAGTAAAGCCATAATCATTACTAAACACATTCCAGAAAGGTTTTAACATAAATCATTTGATAAGCTCGAAGTTGAGCCGATACCTACTTGTTATTACTTAAACTGCACGGTGAGAGCATAATCTGTACTAAAAAAAAAGTTTCATTTTCCTAATTCCTGGTGGAATTTATTGATGTGTTGAGTACAAGTTAGCAAAAATCTAGTACTTCGTGGCTATGGCAGTGGTTGAACACGCAGTGAGGGCGTCATAAATGTCAATACTGTTGTTCGGTTAAAAGCAGTACGTTACTGCTAACTGTTTCTCCATCTTCTCATCAGCATTCCTAAATTAGGAATGACTAGTCCTAAATCTCAGGGATATCTGACCTGACCGTTTAGCCCATGAAAATAACAACACCAGCCTCAAAGAAAGGAAAAATAATTAGAACTGGATCATGATTTTAAATACTGACTAATATATTAAAAGACAAACAATGGGCACAGGAATGTTTGTGACATACACTGCATTATTTTCACCCGTTGGAAGGCTTCCCGAAATTCAGGAATATTCATGAAAATCTGTAAAAAAAAGTCCTAAGAGTTCGATCTTCGATGACGTTACATTATTTCTTCTTTAATTGTACAATCCAAACTTAAGATTAAACGATCCACGCAAAAATGAAAACGAAATAAAGATTTGTTCATGACACACACAAAAAAGTAATTTTAAAATGATTTATGTTCTCACCTCTGTTCACATCAGAAAGGCCTAAAGATAAACACATGGGTTAATCAGTTTGTTAAAAGAAATCTTTATAAGGTACAAATGCTGCCTGATTTTATTGCAACATTCTAATAAAAATCAAGGATTGAATAAAATTATGATCTTTGAAGTTAAATGAGCCATTAAGTTTAGATAAGATTTAAGAGATATAAGATAATTAAATATTTCTGTAATTGAAACGAAATGTATCATACGATATTTTATACGTAGTGACAAATCAATAATTTTCCTGGATTTGGTGTTTATCTTGTTAATAAATCATATAATGATTACATCTAATAATAAAACTCAAAAATAAAGAAAATTACGATTCATTAATTAAATTCATGTTTGTTACAAAACAGTTTGATATAAAAAAATTGAAGTTACTTCTCTTTTGATAAGAAACATTTAAGCCTATCATGTTCATTATTAGTTTCTTATTAAAGCTATAAATTAACCTAGAAACGTTATAAGCACAGCATAAATGACATTTTACATTGTGTTACAAGGAAATTATGTTTCATTTTACGCTCAATTTAACAAATAAGTACTACATGAAATCATTGAAAAACCTGTTCCACTGCGCAAAAGGCCTGTTTCTGGTTGTTTTTTTTTTTGAAGTTACAAGTAGTTTTTTTTAAAAGTTGTTTAATGTTTCAAAATTACCAACGGAAATTTTAAGAAAAGGTACAGCCGAATTGAATTTTGAAGATTTTTTAAAGGAAACATTGAAGAAGAGTAATATTTCTGTTTTTAAATCTCTTCTAATGAGTATTATTATCTTCGAACAAGTCTAGAGATAAGGTTTCGTCTACTTTCGTATATTTTCTTCAAGGAATAGTAAAGTAGCTACACAGAAAAGGTCGAAACGTCAAGAAAAAAGATAAGTTCACTTAGACGTTGATGTTAAGTAAGTAACAAAATAATGTTTTAGGTAGATTACATTAGCCTTTAATGAAAAACGCACTGTTAAGTTAAGAGTTATAAAATACTCTTGAAAAATTATGATTTTTCAATTTGTCACATGTAAGTTGAAACTTGTCACGTGACTTGGTCGAGTTTTGTTATCGGAAAAAGCGATGAGAAAAAAAATAAGTATATACTTACGATATCATTATTTTCAGGAGCTTTTTTGTTTGGTTATTGTTAAGCACAAAGTTACATTATGTGTTCTTTTAGGGTGGGGAGGGACATTTTCGGCAGTATTTATTGCATTCAGTGTGAAAGTATTTATAAGTACTTTTAATCAAATTTCATATATAACTATGTGGTTGTTTTATTGCTTAACTAAGATATTTAAACTTTTAGGTTTTATTTTACTTTAAGAGAATAATTGTTACTTCACGGTGACTCTATTTTAAAAAGTTTCTTCATGTGAAAACGAAATGAAGCTGGCATAACACGCGCACAACGATATGTAGCTTATTAAAAAATGTGGATATTAAATTTTTCCTACGTCACTAGCTTTGCAACATAAATTCCACAGAATAAATCGGAGCTTGGAATAACATGTTAAAGTGTAACTTATTACTTCACATCCAGAATTATTGCAAATTAAATTTTAGGGAACTAGGCAATCAATTTCTAGATCTCTGAATATATAAATATTAATTAAAATTATTTCAAAATCTTAATATCTATAATCATTCAATCGCGAAAATCATTTATTTTAACAAGGGTAAATGTTGTTTTATTAGTGCAAAACTACGTAATGGGAAACCTGTATCATGTCTTCCGCGAGAACCGAACTCCGGATTTTAGAATTGTAAGTCTTTAAACTTACCGCTGATCACCCAGAAATCCGTCCTTAAGGGTCAGAGGTAAAACAATCTATTAATTTAGCTAGATCAATTGAAGTTTTCTGAAATTCTACATTTTAAAACTTTTCGTCGATAAATATTATAACAAAATTATTTTCTTTTTGACATTTATGTTTGTCTTATTTTCGTAAAACAAAATAACCAAAACAACGTAGATGTTGATAAACGCTTGTAAATTTTATAAAAATAAAAGGTTTTCAAATCAAGGGGAAAACTACTTTATGTTACTCAAGATGAAAAAAAAAAGATGATTTTAGAACATTTTATTTCGCAGCACTGGTGTATTGTTTGTTTGAGAACAAAGCCATATTAGGCTATCTTGCTTTCTATACATCGCGGGGAATCAAACCACAGATTTTAGCGTTGTACCTCCGTAAACTTACTGCTGTCTTACCGGGAGACAAAACTTTGGTTTGAAAGATGGTTTAATAGAGAAACTAACGAGTTTAAAATAATATACAATGTATAGAAACATTTATAACGTAAGAAATGTGTGTGTGTGTGTGTGTAAGACATATCAAATCATACAAAATAAGGCTGTTGTTGTTTGTCGAAGTTAAGCACAAAGCTACACAAATGGCTAACCGTTGTGCCATTGGAGTGCTACAAAATAAGAAAGCACAAATTTGCAATGTTACCACTGAATGGATTACTAGTTTTGTTTAACATTTTTACAATAACAGTGCGTTTTAGTCTTTGAATACAACAATGTAAGCTTAAATCGGTACAAAGGAACTTAATTTCAATTAAAAGGGCTTACAAAAATTTGTTTTCTAGTTATCTCGCGTTAGAACAACGACCTATAACTGTAATTTCACAGTCTGGTTGAACCCAAATGAATATTCTCCCACTGTAGGTTTTTCTGAAAAATGTAATCTTCTGTTACGTCAAAAAAGATGTTTCAGGGACCTTTTTATTTTGTCAGCATGTCTTGAAAGCTGCATGGTTAATTGCAATTAGAATAGACAAGTGCATCAAGAAGATTTCATGCGAGAAAATTAACTGTTCTGTAGCAAAATATGATGTTGAAGTTTACACCCATATTTAACACCTTAAAGACCTTGAAACACTTTAACATGTTGTTATTATGTTTTTGTAGTGTTGTGTTACACAAAACGTTGAAACAAAAGCGTTATGCTTGAGTTTTGGTTGAGATTTTATTATAAAATTAATAGCTAACTTCCGTAGACTAAGCCACTTTTATGATACAAAAAGTTAATAAAATGATGTAAAGGAAATATATTTGACAAGGGAACCCATCTATTTCGGTAAACGAAGAGAGACTGATTGTATTGGTATATATATATTTTCTTTTCAGTCTTCTTTAAATCTAAAGGAAACATAATTATATTGACCAAACTTTCGAACACACGACTTAAATCCCAAAATATTCACCTCGTATTTCTTTTTCCCTTTCAACGTTTTCAATCATCTCTTCGTATTTTAAGATTTTATCACGAGACAGCTGAACGTGCGTGTTGTTGTTGTTGTACACACATAGGAATAGTTGGTGACAAGTTTGTTTACTTCGATTTTCGAATAACCAATATCTTTAATTTCAGTCAGCTTTTTTTTGTATTTTCTCAGTGCACTGGTTAATACCATGTTTTCGTATTTTGACAAATTATATATGCCTGATCTGCTGGGCCTTAGATACCGTTAAACACAAAGCTTTGTAACTAAGAGCTTCGTATTGTGCTAGATAATATGTAATGCACTCAGATGTTATTCAGTGTCAGGCGTGTCTCACATACCCCGGATATAGTGCATCATATACTACGCATAAAAAGAAAAGCTCTTATAGTTTCATAAATTGACTAAAATACAACAACGTTTAGAAACTGAAATCGCCATTTAGGTAAATTATATGGAAAAAAAAGAGAATAGTTTCACGAAAATCAATTTGTTATATAAAACACAGGAAATTTTAGGTTTCAATTAAGCAACAGTATTTTCCATTTCTTATGCGGTTTCACTAACTATAACAACGAAAACACTATATCGGAAACCACCTGTCTTTGAAACGCGGCCCCAGGTGATTAGGGCGCTTGACTCGCAATCTGAGGGTTGCGGGTTCGAATCCTCGTCCCACCAAACATGCATATATATGATAGAATAGATACAAAATGCAACAGAAGTGAATGTTTTTCAACATCTTTGTGTGATTAAACAGAAAACAGATTTCAGACAAAGTACATGAAATCTAGTGTAGCTTTGCGCTTTTAAGGTTTGGTTTGAACTTCGCGCAAAGCTGCACGAGGGCTATCTGCGCTAGTCGTTCCTAATTTAGCAGTGAAGGCAGCTAGTCATCACCACCCACCGTCAACTCTTGGGCTACTCTTTTAATATATATCTTTTATATATACATACATATATATCTTTTATATACACATACATATATATATCTTTTATATACATACATATATATCTTTTATATATACATACATATATATCTTTTATATACATACAGATATATCTTTTATATATACATACATATATATCTTTTATATATATATATACACACACATTTACATATAAGTAAAATAATAAATTAACAAAACACATTGATTAGAGAAAAAAAAGACACTACCTGTATAAAAGGAAATTTCTCTCGTTACTTTGTAATTTGTTCCTGGAATGTAGACTTTGCACTCTAGAATAAGAACGTTCGCTTTGGCTAAATCTCTTTCACTAAATCTTCTTGCAAGCAATATGGAGTAGCTCCCATTTGTAAGCTTTACTTGCTTCTTAGTTCCCTGTAACACCGTGTGTTTTTGAAGATCTGGTAGAATAACACTGAGAGATATCTCTGGGCGAGGATATAAACCAGTTGCTTCGCAAAATATATCTGTTTCTGAAGTTGCTACTTTGCTGTGGGATACGGAAAAATTCTTTGCTGGAGCTAGATGAGAAGAAATAAGCGCCAATATTTCAGTGAATCCAACATAAATTAAAGCACGTAATTTCCAGCCATAACTTTATTATATCACTGAAAACATTTTAAAGGAATAAACATTTGTTTATTGGTTATTGAGCACAAAGTTACACAATGCGTTATCTGTGGTGTGCCAACCGCGTGTATGGAAACCCGATTTTTAGCGTTATAAGCCCTCAAATTTACTGCTACGTCACTGGGGGAGGGAGTAAATAATACATTATAAAGTATCCAAATTATGTAATTATTCTGTATAATTAAAATAATATTAATAAAATTTCTGGAAATAATAATGCGATCAGGAACCATTTACTATTAAAAAGTTAAAGTTGCCATCAAGTTTATAACATTGAAATCCTGCTGTAACCACGTATAATATTGAACTTGACTGAATCAAGCCAACAGCTGTAATCACCATATTGTATACTACATTCTGTATTTTTATGTCGCAGTTGTCACATTAAAGCATAAAAAAGCTGTTAGCTTTAAAACCATTTTTAAAGCTATTGTTAATTTCTCGAGCTGATACTGGTTCACACTGGTTCTATTATAGGTTTTAACATAAAAAAGAAGAACATAAAAAAATGTTACTTTTCCAAGGGCAAGCAGTTATTATAATTTTACGTATTTAAATTCAGTAATCTAATATGATTTTTTTCTGCATATATGGAAGCGATCGTTATAGTAGAGTGGATATTATCCTGTCAGTTTTTAAGATATCAGAATGTTCGTACTACTCTAAGACGGTAAACAAATAAAGACACGTTGTATAGAGATTTCAATCAAATGAAAAACTAGCTCATTGTTTTTTGTAATTTCAAGAAAATATAATTCTCCCATACTGTTAAGTTATTGGAAAACACTTAGCTGTATACGATAATATTCACGGTGTTCATAGTTACACATTTCCTGCACCTCAAATGGAAAAGTCACACTTCTTGAACGCAATTTCACAATGTTGCTTCCCATCAACCGTAAATCACACCTGCAAGTGTCTTTCCAGATTTTAAAGTAATGAATGAAGTACGACAAGCGTAATTTTAATCACGACATGCCATTAATGGCAAGTATCTATGAATAATGCACTGAAGCAAGTAATTGCCAAAAAATTAATTAAAAAGTGCAAATCAAAATCATTATCAGACTTAGATTGATTATTATGCATGGTAACTTATAAATGTTACAAGAATGTGTAACTTCAGGAGTATGTGTGTGTCACACTCTACCTGTTTCTTACACCCTAGATGATGATGATAAAAATCATACTAATTTTGGGCTAATTGCTATATTTATTCTTGCCATTTATAACAATAAATCAGGATTAATAACAGTGTATATTACTAATACTTACCATAAACTAGCATCTCTTTATGACGAAGATCTTGACTAGCGAGCGACGTAACCACACATGTATATTTCCCACTTATTTCTAAAGTGGGTTTGAGAATATAAAGAGCGCGGTACCGAGAGTAACGGTCACTTGGATCAACAGAAAAATTGAAGTTGAGTCTACCTAACAAAATTCCAGACACATGTCGTTTCTCCAATCCAGGAATCCACTGGTAGACTGGCTCTAATTGGTCTTTGAAGAACCATTTAACAACAAGACGGACATCACTGACAGTATAACTATACTCACAGTCAAGAATCACGTGATCCGTTCCATTCCGAACCCAACGTGGTACTGAGAGTCGTTTTATTTTTACAGGAAAAGTGACTGAAAAAAAAGGAAACCATACTTAAATATTATATGGAAAAAGTACTAAATCGCGGATTATTTTGGTATTGTTGCTAATATCCGCTAGAGAAACCTGCGCAGTGATGTAGTGTATTTTGAGTACTTGATCTATCTGGTGTGCAATCGTTGTTGAAACGTTTCGATAAACCTAGAAGGACTTTCCTGAATCTTGATTCATCAACTCAAGTTTACCGAAACAACGTATTCAACGGTTAGTTACTAAATAACAAAATAACTTAGTTTCAGACCCACACAATACAATAGAGCTTCAGTTGCATCGAAGATTTACTATGTGTGCAACAAAGTTTGTTCCTTGTAATGAAGTCGATTCAAATATCAACATTAAAAAACTCACGGAAAACAACTGAATTACAAAATTGCTAGGAAAATCTTCCATCAAGGAGGGTACTTTTCTAGAAAGGCAACAGTTGAAAAGTAACAAGATTGTGTTATCTTTCATTTAGTTATTTGTGTGTGTGTGTGTGTGAACCATTATATGTAGCATTGTTATGAGATTGTTACATGGTATTATATATTCATCAGATGTATAGGGTAATGCGAAAGTCGTGTACCCAAATTCATGCTACTATAACTGTTCGAAATGTTAAATGGTGAAAACACGACATAATGTTACAACAGGATCACTTCTACTCATTCGTTCAAAGGTAATGATATAGCAGCAAATGATTGTAATAAAAGAAGGTGAGACAATCAGTGAAACACAACTATGACTTCGAAAAGTCAAACTAAGAGTAGGACTTAAAAATAACATGGTGGTGCTCGTATTTTGTATCACCCTGTATCTAAAACAAGATTTTAAGATCACTTGCTTAATATGTTTGGAACATCCAGTACATGAGGAGCAATTTTGAAGATAATTCTTAGATATATAGATACTCGTTTTATAAGGTTTTATCGTCATTGGTTTAAGAGCTAAGAAATTTATTTATATGATTTTGAAAATAATCTGTGAGGCATTAATATACTTGTTATTTACTTCGTGCATACTGATGTGTTTTACAAGATGTATGTTGTAGCTTTTACTCATTTACACATGTTATGCAACACATGAGCTTGTTTGTTTGAAATTAAGCACAAAGCTACACAATGGGCTATCTGTGCTCTGCCCACCACGGGTATCGAAACCCGGATTCTAGTGTTGTAAGTCTGCAGACATACCACTGTGCCACTGGGGGGCACATGAGCTTGTGTGTATTTTATAAATATTAATTAATTTCCACATCTGCACTTTCTTTGGATGATTGAAGTAATAATTCTAACGTCTTATAAACAAATTAAAAACGCAATTAAAATTTATTTTCTTATTTTTTAGCATGATCTATCCTTTCTTTATGAATAACAGTTTTTACCATTAAAAATCTATTATAATCAACACAGTTAGAACAATTATATAAACAGGACTAAATAATTTAGGGAATTTGTTATCATTTATTTTTCTTTTTATCCTGTGGTTTACAGTTTAAAATGACTGTTATACAGACACAGCAGGTCCTACACTGTGTCACAGGGTTCAATTTGATCAGACTCCAGAAATTTTGATGAAACTAAGGATCTGAGGTGTGGTTTGGTGAACGTATGCAGTTTTGGACAATCCTTCGGCAACAGCTGTTTTCTTCTATCTCCAAGATTGATCCACACATATTCAACCACAAGCAAGTATACATTTCTAATAAGGGAAGCTATTGTCAGAAGAAAGATGTCAGACAGGGACAGGAAGGAAGTACTGAGGACTGTTCGGGCTAACAGACATTCAATAGTACGCGAATTGTAGAATAACTTTAATAACAGTCTAGGAACATCTATTTCCACTAGATCACTGAGTAGGGAGCTGCAAGAAGTTAACCTTGATAAGCGTTACCCCTTGTGTAAACCATCACTTCTACCAACATTTGTTTGTGGAATATGGCAAGATTAATCACGCGTCACATTATTCTGCAATGATGGTAGAGTTAGAGTGTTATGACAACCCAATGAAGTCATGGACCGATCCTGCATAGTCTTCGCTGTGCATGGTTCTGTAGGCAGTATAATGTTATGGAGCCTACTTACATGCATGCGCTAGATTTTCTGGTTCCTCTGAATGGCACAACTTTGCTCGTGAATATATTTGACCATCCTAACCGATGAGGCATACCCATCAATGCTCTATTTCTACTCAAACATATAAAACTGAAAAAGTATTGTAAAAGCTTATTTGAAGAACATTGCTGTTTATTGCGTATTAATTTGGAGTTTTTAGGGAAAAAATAGGGGATATGACTTGAAATAACTTTTCTAAAACGAATTAGTCACCTGTGAAAGGGCTTTCCTTCTGCACGTATTTCTAAAATTAAAATCAGTCATGAAAAAAAAAATCTGGTTGAAATGAAACACGCTTAAATCTAAATAATTTGAATTTTTGTAGAGTCCAGCTGAAAAGCATAGTTTAACCTTCTACACTTACAGGCCGAAATATTAGAAACCCTAACCTAATAATGAGATGGTTACTATGTGCCTGATTATAGCTTAGATACGATGTGGTGCAGACTCTATTAGTGTCTTGTAGGTATCTGCTTCGATCTTTGACCATTCCTTAATCAATATAATCTCTAATCCAGATGACGTTGATGATGATAGACTATGTTTCGTGATTGTTTGGTCTTAAACGTCCCATACATTCTTGATGGGATTGAGATCACATTATTATGTAAGACAGGATAAATGTTGGAAGTTGGTATCATGCTCATTGATCCAATTAAACGGATTTAGTTTATAGGCACTATCCTCCTGGAAGTAATCATCTCACTCAGAAATGTCCTAAAGTGTTATAATTATAGTTAAGTGTTATTATTATTATGTTGTTGTGCAGACAAAGAAAGCAGGTTTCGAATTTCTTCTCTCTAAAATTTCCTTCATTTATATCAAATGTTTTAGCATACCACATTCGAGACATACCTTATTACCTGGAAGGAAAATAGGCCTATGTTATATTAGAGTGTAAGGCGTTATATTCCAGGATATTCCAAACATTGTTATGGGAATTAAAAACAATAATGTTCATATTACACACAATATTCTTATGAAAGCGCTTAAAGCTTTTTATACTATCGTTCTTAAAATTAAAATACAGTGACGAGCTGCTAGTGATTTGAAAATTGTTTTTAAATATAGTACAGCAAGTACTTCATGAAGTTAATTTTATTATAAAAGACTATTAAAGCTACAATAATAAACAAATGAAACGTTTTTTGTTTATTCCTATATCTGTAATAATCAAAGATTCGTCAGCAGTAGCTCAGATAAATCTAATTATTTCAGTTTTTTCCAAGTACGCAAGTAAGCTCTCAATCTAAAAATAATATAATTTTTATACTTATTATTTTATTGAAACATTTCATGAGCATTACTTTAGCTAATTATAGAAACGCAAATAGCATTATTATTATGTTGATTTGTCTTTATTTGTTTTATGCTTTTTTATAAATTTTATTTAAAAAACAAAACATTATTTAACGATATTTTCTCAACATAAGTAAAACTAAGTTTATAATCGAAACTACAGTGTTTTAAACTACCATATACAGTACTGAAGACAATTCAGAATACTACTAATTCATTAGTGTATTCAATATAGTGTCAATTTATAAATATAAGACCTCAAAATAAGATTAAGAATGATCAAAATTTAGATTCATTACAAATACAGATGTTTCAAGTTCTTCTGTCGTGATGGATTCGCTATTCAAATAAAGTATAGAAATGTAATGTTTCTTTCACAATGCTTTTACCAACTTGGATAACTTATTCTTCATGAATTATCAAATTTTAATATCATTATATATATTTCAGATAGTTTAGAACGTTTACACATTTTGACATTAACTCAATTTTATCTTTATAAAGAGCTCGTATTTCTTAAATTTAATTTTTTCAAAAATCCCCACCGAGTATTTTTAAAATTATTTTACACTATACGTTTTAAGTTAGTTTGTTTTAGATTGTTGGTTTCAAAAGTTGAAGTTTTCTGATTCAAAATTTCAAATAATTTCACAGAACTCTCTTGATCGATGTTCCTTATCTAACACTTTTTTGGTCATTGTATAATAATCTTTTGTACTAATTTTATTTCTTCGTCTAGAAAAACAAAATAGGTATAACTGTTTGGAATAGCAATGAAATAAAATACTGTAGTGGTATAATGAGCGTGACCCAGCCTGGGACAAGGGCTACGTTAAAATTCAAGTGTTATCCAAATTACTAATAAGATATATTTGTTTTATATCAGTGTTTCTCAGCCAGAGTTGCTAGACGACCCTCGCGTCCGAGGATTGGTCGTCGCGGCCCCCATTATATTCTTGATGTTTCTTAGCATAGTTCGTCATAATTCATAACAAAGGCGATATGTGCATCTCTCGGACACCTGAGGGCTAAAGAAAAACCAATATGTTGGCTCAGCGTGGACAGCTCGTAACCCTACTGGAAACTTATTCGCGACCCCTTAGGGATCGCGATCCACCGTTTTAGAAACACTGTTTTAGATACAGCCAATTACATCTACTTTTATTTTAACTTTTACTAAAATTTGAATAATTCTCTATCAATATAATTTCATTCGCGCCAAATATTACAAACCCAGCTTTCTGATTAAATTTTTGTAACACTGAGTTGATTTTTCCCCTTTAATAATTTCCTCTTTTCTCTATGCACGTTATTGATAATAATTTTCCATCAATTCAATCAAAAAGTTCTTTTAAACTCAATACGTTGTGGTTTTTGTTCCCTCATTAATCTTATACGTCTTCCATCATAACCAATAAGCGATTTAAAAAATCGAATCTACTATGAAGGCACAACTTCTGCTTAAAGTGATACATTTTAAGAAGAGAACCGTGTAGTAAACTTTCTCTGTCATTACACAATTTTCATAATGTACCTGTCCTTTTTGTGAAAAATACTGCATTTGTGTTACTTCCCACTTTCCATGGCTCCGTGTGTACAGCGCAGGGATTCTTTCCATTGTTCATCTTTGCTCTTTCCATCACCCTTAAAGAAACTTGATAAACCGAGCCTTTTGAAAGACAGAACTTCCTTTTTCGCTCCAAAATGGGAAGGTATACAAAATGGGCTCTTTGCGCTCTGCTCACCACGGGTATTGAAACCCGATTTTTGCGTTGTAAGTCCGCAGACATACCACTGTTCCACTGGGGGCGGGTTATTAGGTGTCTGGAATAGTGATTTTTAAACCTATATGCGTTTTCTATGTGCCATAGTTTTTAATTTCTATCACGTAATTAATTATTATGCTTATTTACATTCTTTGAATCTTTGATGAAAAATGGATTTCATTTGTATCCTTTCTTTAGACGAAAAATCCGATATCATGGGCCTTAAACTTAAGAAAAATAAAATGTATAAGCTTGACAAATAATTAAAAGATTCGAACAAGATGAAATATATATATATATATAAAGACAAACGAATTTTATCTTTAGAAACCCGTGACCTGTTTGTTTGTTTTTAATTATGCACAAAGATGCACAAGGGCTATCTGTGCTCTGCCCACCACGGGTATCGAAACCCGGTTTCTAGCGTTGTAAGTCCGCAGACATACCGCTGTGCCACTGGGGGGCAAACCCGTGAATCCTAGTCTTTTCTATGAATATATTTCTGATAATAACAGTATGGTGTAATTAACGTCTTTTCTTGCCTAAAATTAATATTTCATCGACATTTTAATATTCAATATGATTTATGATTATATAAAATTTTTGGTTTATGCTAGTCGAACCTCAAACACTCTCACAACATATATATATATATATTCACGACAGCATTAATATTATAGCAATAAAAGTTTGTTTAAGAATTCATTGATTTCGGTAAAATTGTAAACTCGAGATTCTCTAGATAATTTTTTGCTGATTCTGATTTTTTCATCGTGTAAAGTTTTTTTTTTCTGTTTTTTTGTTTTGCCCGCTGATTAAGTTAATAAAATCTGCATAAGATTTATTCTTATGATCCGGCTCTTTTCAATTCAACACAATGAGCAACTTCAAACCTGATGTTCAATTCATCAATATTTTATTGAAATTCTTTAGTACTCTTTGTCGAATTCTGAGCAACTCAAATGTAATCTGTAAGTGAAGTCCTAAAATAACAAAGACGAATAAAACTTTCCTCGTCATATAAGCAATTGATAAAGACACTAAAAGAATAAGAATTAAATCAAATTCTGATGGATAAATCTGAAAATCATGTCATACAAAATTATACGTATAAGCAATATAAGTTGTTAATGTAAAAATCATGTCATACAAAATTCTACGTATGAAAATAGTAAGCTGTTAAATGTAAAAATCATGTCATACAAAATTCTACGTATGGGCAATATAAGTTGTTAAATGTAAAAATCATGCCATACAAAATTCTACGTATGGAAAATGTAAGTTGTTAATGTAAAAATCATGTCATACAAAATTCTACGTATGAAAAATGTAAGTTGTTAATGTAAAAATCATATCATACAAAATTATACGTATGAGAAATATAAGTTGTTAATGTAAAAATCATGTCATACAAAATTCTACGTATGAGCAATATAGGAGGTTAAATGTAAAAATCATGTCATACAAAATTCTACGTATGGGCAATATAAGTTGTTAAATGTAAAAATCATGTCATACAAAATTCTACGTCACACCAAACATGCTTGGCCGTTTAGCTTTTTCGATTAAAATAATGATCATAATTTGAGGTTTGGTTTGTTTGGAATTAAGCACAAAGTTACACAATGGGCTATCTGTGCTCTGCCCGCCATGGGTATCGAAACCCGGTTTCAAGCGTTGTAAGTCCGCAAACATACCGCTGTGCCACTGGGGGGGGGGCATAATTTGAGGTAGAAAAATAAATGGCTAAGACATTAGAAATAAAAACGTATTCCAGAACTACTTTAAATTTACATTATTTGCGTTTTTTAGTCAGGAAAGCTTGTTTGAACTTAGGCAGAAAGCTACACAATGGGCTATCTGTGCTCTACCCACCACGTGTATCGAAACCCGGTTTCTAGCGTTGGAAGTCTGCAGACATACCGCTGTGCCACTGGGGGGCTAGTCACGAAAGAATTAACATTATGTATCAGCTCAAAAGCATGAGATATTAACACAATTAATTAAATACGTTTTCCATGTACATTAAGTCACGTTGTTCATATAAAACAAAGTTAAACTCCGTGGTGGACAGAGCGCAGATAGCCTAGTGTAGAGCTTTGCTTGAAAACATTCAGACAATCATGTAAAACAAATATCTGTGCCGCTCTAATAAAGAAAGAATGATGTATTTCTGTTATGAACTATTGTTTACCGGTAAGTTAATGGTAAATTTACGAGTTGGGGTTCGATTAACCGCGGTGGATGCAGCAGCTGACCTCGTGTAGCTTTGCGCGAAATCCATAACAAACAAACAAACATAAGCTACTCGAGGGCTATCTGTACTATCTGCGGGTCACGGGTTCGAATCCCCGTCACACCAAACATGCTTGGCCGTTCAGCCGTGGGGCATTATAATGTGACGGTGAAT